TGAAATCAATGCGTAATCGACTGCAACTACGTGTGTATTTCCTATTTCTTGCCAGGCGGCTGAACCTGAGTACTACACTGTACTTGTTGTTCAGTATGAAGCAAGTGGAGGGCATGAAGCAGACGGATTGCATGTTGTATGCAAGCGCGCGTGATTGAACATTGTTTCCATTTGCTCAACGTCAGATTCATGAGCAAGCAGGCAGCACTCCATGACCTCAATGTCTATAGTCATCACAGAGACAAACACCCACGGTGACTGCATTGATGCTTTAATCAGGTCTGACTGTTTAATCTGGGAAGTATACTCAAACAAAAAATGAAGGCAATTTGGTACGGTGGAATACTGCCTCAAGAATTGCATTTCGAAACGGAGGTGGTTTTAATTAGGGAACGTGTGAACAACATTGCATACAACCACTGTAAACATCATTCAACTTCCCCAATTTGGAAGAGGAAAATGATTAATAGTACAGTTTTTCATAAAAGAATCTAATACTGCACACCTGAGCCATTTCACCCACACTACATATGCGCAGCAAGCTGAGTCAATAGTTGTCTATCATGTACATACAGGTCTGCTCAGTTTTTTGCCCATCAGAATAAATAAATCACATGTTATACCACATGTAACTTTTTCGACTTTGGAATTTTTTTCCCAAAAATTTACTACATATCATTCTGTAGCTGCTCAAGCAATATTGTTGAAGCTATGTCTTAGTAACAGAAAGTGTGTTACATGCAGTTGAGTTGATGAGATCACACCAAAACATTGAGTCAGTGTATGTAGTCAATCTTTTGGAAGCTTTTTTCAATCTGAAAGAAGTTACAGCATGTATTACATATGAAGAACTTATCCTGATGAGCAGATAACTGAGCAGAACTGTATGTACATGATAACCACATATTCACTGAGCCTGCTACACATATGTAGTGTGGGTGTTATGGTTCAGGTGTGGAGTGATAGACCATTTTATGACAAATCATACTCCCAATCATTTTTTCCTGCCCACTTGGGGAACCCGAATGATGTTTGCAGTGAACACTAAAACAACTATCCATGATCGTGTTTCAGACCAATCAACTCGCACACCGTTTGAACAGCATCCTGCGTGGCAAACATCTCATGTATGATATGTCTGCAGACAGGGAGATCACGTCGGGAAGTTGGCGACTCAGCCATTTGCACGGTCAATTTACTTTGCCCTAGGAATTTCGGCGCAAGACAAAGGACCGATATCGGGTATTCTTTGAGCCACTTGAAAAACTACGCTACCACCTATCCTCGGTCCAGAGACTCCTAGCCTCATTTGTCCAGCTCTTGTCCAGGGTGTCAACAGTACAAGCAAATCACTTTCACACAGCGTACTAACTAACGATCTCATACCTTCACCCAACCATGTAGCCATCATACCACGCACGTGCCTGGCTTTGCCGTTCAAAACTCGAATTCTTGGACAACTCAACTGGAGCGACTCACAGGCGAGAACATCTGCCTTCCGCTAATTATGACTTCTCGCGTGGTGTCTTTGGCAGTAGACAAGATAGTCATTCACAATCCAACAAATCGAATCGAGCCCCACACGTCGATCGGCCAGCTGGGTGAATCTGAGCCCCTTACGCATAGTTTCCCAGCTACGCCACCGCCGATACGATTTCTTTGCATAAATCATAATACCAATGATGTTTCACGACAGCAAGGTTCACCAGCGTTAATACCCAACTTTTAGGAAGTTCACCTGTCATTACTTTGGCAAGCACCTGGGCCACACGAAATTAATGCCGGCCTAATTTTAATGTGTATGTATGTAGTTTATCCTTGGACTATCCTCCTCACGTTGTGATTTCCTGAATCACCCTGCATCGAATTTCACGGTTATACACACATCCACATTTTTGATAGTCCCATCTTCTCAGTTGCGATATCCGGTTTATACACATACCTCATGGTTTCAGGATAATATTACGTCCCCAATCCGCCGTTCATGGTCAACCGACGTGATTAATGTCCCTGACTGAAACTCGATCCCATATGTTGGTCAACCTACCCGAGAATCAATGCTACATACGCTAATCATTCAAGGATGATACCACATCGCCAAACTGACCTTCATCGTCAACCGATTTGATTGATGTCCCCAACTGCAACTCGATGCGATGTGCTGGTTAACGTACGTGCCCGACCACTGCTACGTACGCTTTTGATTAAATCACAGCGGATCTGCAACACGGGCAAAGTATAAAGCAGCCCCTGGCGTCTCATACTTTTGCTTCACAGATACTACCCACTATTTCCAACTAAACCCATAAGCAAACGTTTCCCAAAAGTTTGTAATGTATTTTCATTAATTTCAAACTTCCATGCCACCAGCTATCATATCACTAACTACGAACCTGATAACATTGTGTTCTCAATGGTGTACTAGCAAAGCAGCCCAAAGCGTCATGTCTGAACCGAAGCCCTGCACTGGACATGGCCTTTACCTCTCTGGAATCTTTGGAGTTGACGAACAGGCATAGTTCAATTCTAACTTTTTTGTTTGGTGGTGCTGTCCCTGATCACATACTCCTGGACTGAATGCAGCTATCGGAAGATATGAAATACAAGGCTGAGTACCGAAGTTATTCTGTATTAATCGGCTGTGGGGGCAGCAACCGTGTACAAAATCTTCATTACGAGATTCGTGCTACCGGTTATAGCCCTGAGATTTTTAAATTAGAACCCAAGCATTATTACTTTTTGCGTGGTTCTTTCTTCCCGACCAAAACCAGTGACACCTATGATGACGAGTTCTTCTTCGAAGGTTCTGATCGAGCCACACCTGTTGTTGAAGAAAGTATGCAATTCCTCAAAAAGAATCCTACGGATGATGATTTGGTTTCTTTATACGCAATTGTCCAGCACTGCGACTTCCACCCGGAAGTAAGTAGCATACATCTAGACCAGACTTCTCACGTGACTAATTGCAACGTACCACAGACCAAAGACCCGCGATCCTCAACAGTTGAATATCGGATCCCGCCATTCAAACACCTTTCGGGTTCACCAAAGATTGTGAAGAATGGTCGTGAGTGTCAATTTCACGGTTACGTGAAAGACTTTAATGAAGAAACCAACTGTTACATTGTAATTGTAAGTTTCTGAACTTCCTCTTGCTTTTGTTCCTATATTGCGCAAACTTATGTTGACAAATCTGACACAACTAAACCAAAGGTCAATAAGGTCGCCCCAACTTCTGGCCATGTTGAAGTCAATTCACGTGGCCATGCATCGAAAGCGAGCAATTCCACCGCTTCAAACACTCGTCCCCAAATAGTAAAGTTAGTTCGACAAACTTTTGCATCATTGAAAACTGAAACAAGTTAATCTTATTCAAACTACTAGATTCAATCCACGCGGTGCCAAAGCGCCCTTCAGATCTCCTTTGATTGCGTCCTACACAAGTTCCAGCATCCCGTTTCCTCCCTCTGACCGCACCGCATCGTCCCTGTCATCTGGATCTGGAACATCCAACCCGAATCCAATCGTAAGAGCTACTCCACCTGCCAAAAAGAGACAACGTGCACAACCTAAACGCAAGGTGGCACAAGTTGTGGAACATGACTCAACTGAGGAAGTTTAAGTTGTAGATCAAACACACCTCGCACCGGTCAGTACCATTGTCTCATTGCACACCTTACATACCTCAACTAAGGTTGTTTGCCTCGTGTACCAGGCTCATGGAGTTTATCCTTCACTGAATTAGTCTGCTCAACTCCATCCAATGTGCACCTTAGTGAACTATTTTTGGTCTCTTTATAACACTCGATTTCGAGTTTGATCAAATCTTCGAACGAGCAAATCAGCGTCTGATTTTCTACCTACTTTTCAAGTCATTATAACTGTTACAATATCAGTGATTCATGTACAAGATAGACTGATCAGTTTCGTAGGTATTTTGTTTATTGTATATATATATCGGGTCTGCGGTTTCTGCTCGCACTTCTTCACTTCCCACGTTATACATACTGTGCCCACCCAACCCAGAAAAATTTATTTAACAGTGACCTCATTAGAAATTCTGTGCTACTGTTTTCCCATTTGTGCTTACCATGATTCGTATGCACCATCACTAAATCAAATACAGAAGTATCTTGATAGCTGTTGCATTTGGCCTCCTGGTCTACCTGAAATACACGTTCAAGTCAACTGGTGATCACCGAGCTGAATCTGTACTCACACTTCAATCTTGCGGAGTCCGCAAGACTTGTGTGGCATGCGTCACTTGAGAACAATGTGAGATCTGTTTCAATCCGCCTCCTGATGCAGATGATTGCGCCTGATCTCAGGTAAATTGTAAAGGCCACTTGCTTGAAACATACTAATAAATCACATATCACCAAAGAACACATATATACAGGAAACTATATTGTGGAATCATACAGAAAAAGTGAAACCTGGCCTTTAAACCTTGAGACTCAGGGTTATGTTTATATCGACGTAGCAGGTCTGTATTCACATGGGATAATTGTAATTATTACCTTGATGTATTTTGAATTGACGCGGATACTTTAACGCTGTGATACTATTCTGCGACTTAATCTGGCTCATGACCAAGAGTGCCTCCCGAGGTCCGTGTCCTGCGGGTCAAGTGTAGGCCTGCGGTGAGATCATGCACGATCAGCTATGACTCCATGCTTAACCGTCGACTTGACCCCGGAGACCAATCTGCACCATCATTTCATTCGTTTCAAGGCAGTTTGCGTATTGATTCAATTACCAACTACGGTGATACCGCGTAATCGAAGTTTGCTCATTTCGCGTGTACTGGCGAAGAAACCCTGGTGGCTTAACCGATTGGACACTCCAGATTCCGGCCGATCCTTGGGTATTTCAGCGAGCCTTGGAATCAATAACTGGCGGAGTCAGTAATTTCACTTCTGCTGTTCCAGTACCATAGCAAGTATGCTAATTTACAGAATGTGATGAGTTATTCAACTACCAGTCCTATAGTCAAAGTTTATCTCATCCGACTCCTGATTACAATCTCCAAAACCCGATTTGTTGTACCTGGACTAGCGGTCAATAAGGTGAAAACAATGTTCTGTACGTTTTCCTATACATTGAACCTGAAGTGATATTGATTTGTCATTTATTTATGATATTAACTCTGATTAGAAATCTACTTGGAGCGCCATTGACCGGGTTATCTGGATGTATATCAGAATAAAACAAAACCAGTAATCGTGGATTGCGCGTAAGCAACCTTCTTCAACACATTGGGGCATGAACCACGTCCTCCATCATCTCGCTACACACTAACAATGTGCCTTCTGATCTTGAAACTAGGAGATCGACCAATCACCGCATATATATGCAAACGCGATTATCACGTTGTACCGAAATATCACCTGCGTGTAAATGAATCACAGTCTGGAAGCGTGATTGACGTGCATTTCGAGGTCGTAAGGTTTGCAGTTCTGCATGCAAAGGGTCGGCTTTTGAGGAAGTCAGACCCAGGATTGGCCTATAGCGTACAAATTTCCATCGCAACTTTAGGCGTTATCAGGATGTATGTACTGACCCTATTTTTTGTGTCCATTTGACGCGAATCTACGCTGGAGTTTCAAGTGAGCTCAATTTCATTCTGGAAGTACACCTGGGACATTGGGGCAATCAGTTCACTTGCTTCGTAGCCAGACTGAACCTTGCGTAAGGACACTGTTGTGAGTTTTCAGAATCTCTTTCTTTGACATCATTTTGCAAACAAACCTTCGAATCCAAGTGGGCGAATTTATTAGTAACATTAAATTATACGTGTCTTCCTCTTGCTTGCGTTTAATTTCATGCCTTCCAGAAGAGCGGCCCGTGGGGGTGCAATTCGATCCGAGAGATTTGGATCGGAAGCCAACCTATTACATCGGTTTCGAGATGAAATACCATATAAATTAGGGCGTCACGATGATATATGTGGGGGGTGTGGAGCTTTCAGATGGAAATCAGAACGCCGAGTGAAGAATTCTAGGTCATTACGAGCAACCTTTGGCAATTGTTGTCGACACGGAGATGTTGACCTCCCCGTCAAGTATTTTCCCGACTTGGTTCATGAACCTGTGCCACGATTCTTTCGTGACCTGTTAACAGGAAGTGATGATCGTAAGTAAATTTTCAGTTGAATTTAACCCAGTTTACTACGTCAAACTAAGTGATCTTAATCCAGGATCAAAGACCTTCCGCGTCAAGATTCAAAAATACAATAACGCTCTTTCGTTTACTTCCCTTGGTCTCCACCTCGATGCATCGGTTCTGGGTCAACGTGGTCAATATGTATTCAAGATTTCTGGCCAACTTTCGCATAACATCAACTCCCTGATGCCTCTACCAGGTGCAGAACCAGGTTTTGGCCAGATCTTTACGTATGGTGCTGGGGGCAATGAGGAAGCTAAACTAAGAGCGGAGCGATCGGGAGTGAAAGGTCTTGATCCGGAAATCTTGCTCATGTTCCAACAATTCATGGATCGACACAACCCGTACGCTAAAGTGTTCAGGTCAGCCCAAGAGATTTGCAAAGACGGAATCGTTCGCACTCTCAAATTAAAAACTGTACTTGCGCGTGGATCAGACCAACGCCGCTACAACTTACCTACCGCAAACGAAGTCGCGGCTATAGTTGATGGTGATGGAACAGTAGGACAACGGGGGCGTGACATTGTGCTGGTTTGGCAGTGTGGCGAACGACAGCGAATATCCGAGCTGCATACTGGTTATTTTGCTCTCCGGTATCCGCTTTTGTTTCTGTATGGGTCGCAAATGTGGCATGATTGTTTTCGCAATCCCACTCCCACCAGTAAGTCACTTTTCTATTCCTGATTTGATAACTTAGACACTGATTGTGATTGTTGTTTTAGATCCGGAAGGCGATGTCTCTAATCTTGATTGGTTCGCCTACTTACTATTTAAACGACCAGCTTGGTCGGTAATCTTGCGATCTGGGAGACTATTCCAAGAATTCGCCGTCGATATGTACGTTTGCGTTGAGCATTCAAGGTTGCAATACTTGCGATTCCATCAAAACGAAATTCGAGCTGAATTGTATCACGGAGCAATCGAAGCTTTGGGTAATGAAACCGAAGATGAAGTCGTTGGCCGAAGGGTAGTCTTGCCGTCGAGTTTTGTTGGAGGCCCACGGCATCTACAACAACTATATCCAGATTTGATGAGTTTGGTAGCAGAATACGGAAATCCCAGTTTATTCATAACTATGACGGCAAATCCAGAATGGTCTGAAATCACCAATGAATTAGAAGAGGGTCAAACTGCCGAAGACCGACCTGATCTGGTTGTGCGCGTCTTTTACCTCAAGCTTCATGAGTTGCTGGATGATGTTACAAAGCGGGAGCGACTTGGAGTATGCGTAGCTTACGTCTATACAATTGAATTCCAGAAACGTGGCTTACCGCACTGTCATCTGATTTTATTCCTCAAGGGAGACTCGAGACCTGTGTCACCCAGCGATGTCAACTGTTTAATTTCGGCACAGTTACCTGACCCTGAAACAGAAGCTGGCCTTTTCGGATTGGTAACCCAACACATGTTGCATGGCCCATGTCACAAATGTCCTTGTTGGAATGGAACTGCCTGCACCCGTGGCTATCCTTGAACCTTCTGTGAGACTACTTCGATGCCGGAAGACTCATATCCCACTTATAAACGACCAAACAACGGGCGCTGCTACATGAAAGGTAACATCAAATACGACAATGGAAATGTGGTCCCTTACAACCGCTTTTTATTACTTAAGTTCAAATGTCATATCAATGTTGAAGTTGCGGGAAGCATCAAGGCAATCAAGTATTTATTTAAGTATATCTTGAAAGGACATGATAGAACGATGGAAAATCTCGAGGATGAAGCTAGCAAAGATGAAATCCTGGCTTTCCTGAATGCTCGATATATCAGTGCGCCTGAAGGTGTGTTTATGTCCTGTCACTCTCAAATTTGGCAGCAACTGACCCATGTGTTGACACAGCGATTTGGCGGCTTCTTAAGTTCCCAATTGCCGGTCGCTACCCTCCGGTCCAACGTCTCGCTTTGCACCTTGAAGGAAACCAGACAGTTTACTTCTATAACACGGCTGGGCTGCGTACATCGGTCGAAACTGGAAGAGCCGAGCGAACGACATTAACGGAGTACTTCCGGCACTGCAGTGAGAACACAAGATTGCCGTTCACCAATGGAACTATACAAGACCTGAAATATCAGGAGGTTCCTCGACACTTCACATGGGACCAGAAGTCAAAGCGACTATCTCCTTGAAAAAACAAGGGTATTGCTATTGGACGAGTGTATTTCGCAAATATCAAAAGAGGCGATGTATACTATCTAAGACTATTGCTTTCTCATATCCGGGGGCCGACATCCTTTGAAGCGCTTCGAACAGTAAATGGTATTGTGTTAAGTAGCTTTTGGGAAGCTGCTGATCGTCACGGACTTCTATTGACGGACCAGCATTACCATAATGGTCTTACTGAAGCAGCTGTTTGGGCCACCGGAAATCAACTCCGACGTATGCTGGCAATCATTTTATGCCACAGCTCTCCTGCAGATCCACCTCAACTCTGGCTTCAACATGTAGATAATTTATCTGATGACTGTGAACACCAGCTCAAGCAACTTAATCCTGACCTGACTCCATCGCGCAATCAAATAGAGAATTATGCGCTTAGTCAACTTGAGCAGATTCTCATCTCAATGGATACAACTCTTCACGATGTTGGTCTAAATTCAATCGATCAACATTTACTTTTCGAGTTAGACCTGCCACGGGGACCGGAGGGCAATCAAGAACGTGGGGTAAACTCAGACGAGAGCAGCCGAAAATATGAAGGCATGCTACGCCTCCTAACACGTGAACAACGCGCTGTGATCACGCCAATTCTGGAAGCACTGAGCAACAATTCACCTTACCTTGCGTTCCTGGACGGTCCCGGTGGAACTGGCAAGACATTTGTCTTGAACTGCATCTTGCATTACTGCAATGCAAATCAAGTATCATTTCAGGCAGTCTCATCAGCCGGCATCGCGGCACTGTTGCTATTGAAAGGAAGGACAGCGCATAGCGCTTTCAAAATTCCCATTTTGGTGGACGAAGAATCAGTATGTCCGGTGTCTTCAAAGGACCGCGTAGGGCGCGCTATGAAGGACGTTAGATTCATAGTGTGGGATGAAGTTGCAATGCAACACAAACACGCGATTGAGTGTGTCGATCGCACAATCCGCGACTTAACCGGAATCGATCTACCCTTTGGAGGCAAAGTCGTTCTATTTGCTGGCGACTTCCGACAAACCCTCCCGATTGTGAGGCGATCAAACTTAATGCAACAAGCAGGAGCGAGTCTCAAAGCTTCTCACCTATGGACCCACGTCAAACGCTTTGCCTTAACGCTCAATATTTGCTTGGGAGGTGCAAACCCCCACCAAAATGCAACAAATGTCAAATTTGCCGCCTGGTTATTGGAACTGGGATCTGGACAATTGCAAAAGGAATACGCAGCATCAATTCCGTTGCAATTTTGTAATGTGTCAATAATTCGGCCACCATCCATCTTCAACTCAGATCTTGTGGATACTGAGTATATGGGAGCAAGAGCCTTAATTATGACTGAGGACTGGGCGAGACTGACTGAGCTATACTCGGGCAGGTGTATAATAACACCATTAAACGCCACGATGTCTGCAATCAACGATCATGTGATGAGTTCTTTACCTGGGATTTACTACACCTCGGCCTCAATCGACTCCATGGATGAAGCTTTTTGTGATTCAGTCTCAGTTGACGTTTTGAACACTTTCGACTTTCCTGGATTTCCGTTGCAATCACTGAACCTGAAGATCGGAGCATCGGTAATGGTCTTACAAAATCTGCAGTTAGCCGACAGCTTATGCAATGGTACCCGTCTATTGATCACAAAGATTGGCGAAAACGCGTTAGAATGCCGTATCTTAACTGGTGAAATGAAAGGTACATCTATAAGTTTGCCAAAGATGTTATTGCACCATGAAGGCAATGAACAGTGTCCAATTCCATTCTATCGGTTTCAGTTCCCAATCGTACCCGCCTTTTGCATGACAATCACCAAGAGTCAAGGGCAAAGCTTAGACAGGGTGACAGTATTGTTACCTAATCCGGTTTTTACTCACGGACAATTGTATGTAGCTCTTTCTAGGTGCACCTCTGCTTCCAATGTTCATGTTTGTATTGTCTCTAAGGACGACGACTTGGCCACCAGGAACATTGTATTTCATCCGATCCTGCAGAATTGAGCAAGCCCATATGTTTTCTTCGCTTTTCACCACCTCTAACGGTGTTATTTGTGTTCCACTTTTGTTAAAGAATTTACAATCCTCTCAGTGTGTCAAAATCAATTGTTGAAATTATGGCGAAAGTTGTTATACAGAAATATCCATTATTGATCTGTCTATCACAAATGCACTTCACTTGGGTACTCCGTCGACCACATGTGCACCTTGGTTCACATGATTATGAACTAGCATGGTGTTACAGGGTGTTGCACATCAATTTAGTTAATTACAACTCACAAATTTGGAACAAGTGGGAACACGGCACGACTCTATTTTCCTGGCAACTTGAAAGATAGCTTGCAAAACTTGGAAGTAAAGCAACACGCAATCACATGTTTACGACTTCGAATCCATATAAGGTGCTCAAAGCGATATAACAATACGAGTACCCTATGAGTACTGTATCAAACGAATTTGTACCTTGCGATCTAATTACGTGTGTAAACTTCAAGTCTACTGGTTTCGGAGTGGGAGCCACATTGGCCGGATCTAACAAACAATGCATTCAAATCAACTTGACAGCCCACCAAGTCTTCAGAATAGTCAAATTTCAGCGTGAGTAGGCCAATCCATATTCTGCTGGACCATTATGTCGATTACACCGGTTCGTCTCCGGTGTCTTAAAAAGCATGGTTTGTTGATGTGTTTCAATGAATGTTTGCGTAGGGCTGGACGCGAACACACCAGGAAATCACGTGATCGTATTTCGCATGGTGATCCGGAAGCATGCGACCTGTGGCCTAGGGATTGTTAATCAAATTGGGCGATGTCAACGCTGCCACACTTAGGAATATTTCGACGTGGGTATATCATTCCTAACGAATGGACGAGGAACTACATACTTGTTGGCAACAATTCAAACTTCATTGGTGCATGTAGGGTGTTAGTTCAGTAAATTCTGGCTTTCCACTGAAGTTACGGAACATTCATGTGGAACGTTGGTGCCTTGTGGTGGTGGCTGCGCGGCGACTAACGGATAATACTGCTGGGTGATACCTGAAAGTAAGCGGTGTCTATCCTCAACAGCTGAATGGACAGCATGCGATGTCTGTGTATCATGATGAGAATTTGGTGAGGAGAAAGTGATGCTGGGGGATTACTGAATCGGAATGCAGGGATCACTTGTTGTGTGCTGTTCGGTTCTTAACAAGGCATTTCAAGTAAGTGGTTTCCTTCCGTTGATAAAGTACTCTGGCTGATCGTATTGATAACAAACATTAGAAATGACTCCAGCACAGTCGTTGACAGTAGAAGTAGTTGATTGTATCATAGCTTACTTGTATGATGACGCCCAGAGAATTACTATTGAACCATTCAACAGCGCAAACAGAGCCTTTTTGCATCATAAGTCAATCAAACGCTTGCTTAGTTTACGATTCGTGGCCAGATCTTGGGCAACCGCTATTCCGCCGTTTGTGTATCATTCTCTTTGTTTGAGAACTCCTTGGGTCAATGGCTACTTGATGAAGATGTGGCAAAACTGCCTGAGACCTTGTCATATTTTCAATCTTCGATACCTATGCTTAGAACAAGTTATGTTTGTCTCTCCATCAAATTTTGGCGGCTTCCGTGGAATGTTATCAGATGAATGTCAAGAACAAGTCGAGTATGAGTACGGACGCCGCGAATCTAACTGGATCTTTATGACGGATGCAGCGAGCATCATATCGATGTGCGGTAGAAATTTGGAGGACTTAAAGTTCGGTTTTGCTAATTCAGTAGGGTTTTCGGATGCTATGCTATACGCACTCAAGCAAATCAAAAACTTGAAAAGTTTGGCACTCATAGGAACAAGGGTGGCTGATATCGTGAATGACACAGCGTCTATAATTGAGGCCTTGAATGATGCACACGCTTTGGAGTCACTATCGCTCAAAATGTCTACCATTGAATCTCTTGATTTAAATCTAGGAGCTTTACCTAATTTGCAACACCTTTGGGTTCAATGCCACCCATGCAATCTCATCGCTCTTCACAACTTCTGCCGATTTGAAGATAGAAAGATTCGTATGCTAGAAATTGCTCATTCCTGGGAGCCAGAAGAATCCGCTCCATTGTTCTCAAGCGTTCAAATCACACTCACCAGTGCTTACTTCGACACAATCCCCGACCGTGTACCACAGCAAATCCGCAAGATTTGCTTTCCCGAGCTCCGAGTTGTACGCACTAGCCATATCAATCCTGGACGTCACCAACCGCCCTGGGTTTGCTGGCAACTTTTCCAAACCGTCGAAGTCTTAATCACTGATTATTATAACACTCAAGCTTACTGGTACACATTGTTCAAGGAACTCGGTAAATTGCGACTGGAGAAGGGAGAAAATTTCAAGCATATCATCTTCATAACTCAAGTCGCGGACATCGATGAAGATCTCAATTTACGAGCCAAGTTCGGTGCTCATCAAATTGAATGCCACTTTAGACGTTCGATGAATTACACTGAGACGTTGGTAAGCAATGTTTGAAATCTGATATTCAATGTCTGCTGTAGCTAACTTGGAGACTACATTATGACTCAAAGGAGTTTGTAGATAACCTCAACAGCGGCTCAGAGAGGAAAATAGGGGGAGATGGGCCCAGGGCAATGTAGGGGGCAAATAGATGCAGAGTCCGATACTGTCATTAATTGGTGCAAGTGCTGACCAAAGGCATAATATTCTGTGTCACCAATAATCACCAATTTGATAACTGCTTTTCAGTATTTTGATTGGTTCCTTGCTGAAGCATTGCACAATTTCTACGTATATGTGTGCTATCGTTGTGACTACCTATTAAATGAGATACTAAACACGTAATGAGCACTCGTGAATTCGTGAAGAACCTTGTGTTTTGCAAAGCAAAGCATGTAATGTGGTGTGTATGGCAACGCAGACTCTGACGTTTGAGAATTGACAGTTATGTCCTGAAACTACAGTTTAGTGAATCAAATGACGTTTGGATCTAGCAAAGTTGGGCTTAAATTTTGGTTAAATTTTCACATAGACTTAAACCACATTCTAGCCCGGTGGTTAGGTTGGATGTTAACATCGAGGAGCTGGTTGAAGGTTCATCTGAAAAGTCTCTATCAAGTGAAATCAGTCAATCGCCCAATTTGGCGTCGAGTCACTCAAAGAGCTGGGTAAGGACCACTCGAGCAAGTCTTAGACATATCGGTGAGAGTTCTTCATCAAATTATCTCTCTTGTATTGCTGACGTTCCAAGTGATTTGTTCTGGAAAAGCGGGTTTGTCGAATCTCCGGGACTCGATTTGGTTGCTTGACACGGAGGTAAAGGATTTACGCAGTAAGCATTGCTTGGTAAGTTTGAAGCCTACATTTTGATTCAGGGCGATTTTGATATCAGACCTTATTGTTCTGACCGACTGTTATTTTACCTGATTAACATCTGGTTTTGACGTTCATCACGATTCTTGTGACACGAACACGTAGAGACATTCGAGAGACCCTACCTCAAACAGTAGGATCCAAACGTGTGTGCTGCCTTTTGACCATCTGTGATCTTGGCAGGTGTCGTGCGAGCCTGGCACCTGCTTTAGGTAGTGGCCTGTTGAACAATTTTAACTAACTTCCGATTTTGTTGTCTGCAGTTCCAATCTAAAGGACTGCCATACCAAGTAATTATAATTTTGTATGAGTTATGAAGCTCGATTTCACGCACCCAAGGTAAATAACCTGGGATTTGAAGATGAGCCTGCGGACGTAGTGTGGATACGGATGATTAGAAGAGGGCAAGGATAGCCTCTGCACAATTTGAATTGCACTCTGCTAAAAGTTAGATCTGCTCCTGCACATGCAGGCTCACCTTTCAAATCCTGGGGTCTAGGGCGATGACAGCTTCTTAGAGGGGTTGGACTGGCGTTGGGGTCAGGGAACTAATCTGGATGTTTTCACCAACCGTCATTCTGCTAGATTGCATCTAACGATTCGAATATCGCGTTTGGTGCTGGAACATAAGATTTCAGAGGTGTGTGTTACCTCTCAACCATCTGTCATCTTTTCAAGTGTCATACAAATTTGGTACCTTCGTTAAGTAATGGTAGGTTGAAACATTTTGCCTGACTTCTGATTTTGTTATGCTATAGTTCGGGCTGAAAAACTGGGCCACTAGGTAAGCATAATTGTATGTGGGTTACTAAGCTCAATTTCACGCACCCAAATCAAATAAACTGGGGCTTTGAAGGTGAGCCTGCATGTGTAGCGGTGGATAATGGTGATTAACAGAGGGCGAGGATAGCCTCTGCACAATTTGAATCGCACTCTGTTAAAAGTTACATCCAGCTCTATGCATGCAGACTCAGTTTCTGGGTCCCGGGGCTTTTGGCGGTGTGAACTTCATGGTGGAACTTTTCAGAGGGTTGGGGTCACGCAACTAATGTGCATCTTTTCGCCGATTGGTACTCTACTGGATTGCCTGTAATCCTCTAAATATCACATTGGTCATCCAGTCGTTAGGACCAGGTGCAGTGCTACTCTTAAATCTCAAAGGTTTTACTACCGCTGAGGTGTTGTGGAGATAACCAGGTAGAGTGAATTTCATGATTACCTGCTGTTGCTGTCCACATCTTCTCACGGTGCCTGACCCATGATTTGATAGGTGAATCCTTGGCGATACGTAGCAACAGAACCAGGTTCAACAAGTAAGCTAGATCCGATCCTGCTTGGCTAGATGCCACGTTTCCGCATGAAGAACCGGAGGTGAGAGAAGATTGTGCAAATGCCGGGAGGCAAATGGTGGATAGCAGAGGCCACGAACAGTGTCTGAACAATTTAGATCGTGTTCTGCTAAAAGTCATGTCCATCCCGACCCATTTGTACTGTCTTTAATCATTTTGGGGTTTCTTTAAGTTGTGGATACTTTAACTACAAAGGACGAAAATGCCACGATCGGACTGGACTTCTATTGACATTAATTATGGGATCTGACTTAGATTTTTCAACCTAGGTCAAGTTACATAAAATGTCCACGAACCAAAATCCTGATTGGCCTACAACCAAGCGTGCAAAATACGGAATTCAGTCGCAATTGTCCGATAGGTATGTGGTAAATAATACTGTTTCTATCATGAGACAACAGCTGATTCATGTGATATTTACAGCAATCACACGTCCTTGGAAGGGGTAACGTTCTTATCGGATCTGCTTAAGGGTATAGATAGCAAGAGGCAAACTGGGCATACCAATGATGATGTAAGTCAGCTGATTATCCCCTCAGCACAATGCACTATTAGTGGTGTCATTGAGCACAATTCCCTGTCTAATAATTCGATATTGTGATGCGCATAGCTCCCGGCGCCATTCCTGGTACCAAAATCCTACATACATGTGGCCCATGAATATCTGGCACCGGATGGATTTCCTAAATCAGAATTTTGGCTTCATCAAGCGTGCAAGTACACTGTGCTTAAGGCTGATGGGAAATCTGGGAAAGGAACGCTAAAGTAAGAAATTGTGTGATGTGTGGCCGTTTTGATCCTGATACTGATGGCGAAGTTGTTTTGGTATGTGGCCATAATCTTCAGGTGGCAAGCATTGGATTTGTACCGCGAAAGAGGTTTGGAAGGTATACCCAAAGCGCCTCCTCTGGTTGTGAAAACGAGTGGGAGGGAAACTACGTAAGCGGGTTCTTGAATGTCCTGCCGGGGATTCATACATCTGATACTTGATTTTTGGTTTAGGCGCCATGCAACAAGGGCAGCGAAATTTACCGAAGCACGCCAAACCGATCAATCTGCGAACAGTCCAAATAGATTATTAAAGAAACATGATAAGCAAGTAGTTAGATACGATGATCCATTGCTACCATTTGAAGACCACGAGCGTACTATGGAGATAATATTTAACACCTATACGATTTTAACCCATGGGAGAGGGCAGTTTGTTGATCGCGACTCAAAGCAACTGGTTTTCACATACGCGTTTGAGGATCTTGAAGCTATGGATTCGAACACTCGCGAGGAGCATCAGAGGGATGTGGATACGATTATGATGTCTACCAAATTATTTAAACGCTTACCAACTCCAAACGGGAAAGCCTTGCTTGATCAGATCCGCAAATTATCAGCCTTGCGACTTCCAGGACATCATGCGATCCAATCTTGTGATTCCACTATGTCCATTGAGTCAGGCGAAATGAGAGAGTCGTCGCCATTGACCTCACTCCCACCTTCACCTAGAGAATCTTCTCCGCTTACCTCACTTCCCCCATCGGATGTTGAGGACGATCATGAACCAGTTGCAATTGAAACTAAGAGTACGGTAACCACCAATGGTGCGCTGATACACGGACGAATGCACTGTTTTGGACAAACAGTGGGGTACTCTGCAAACATCTTGATGTCCTCATATTTGCCGAGTAAGGATTCATCTAAGTCACTATATCGACAATTCTTGGACAACCTCCCGGGTTTTGGTGCGAGGGTTGGGTTGCAATTCAGTGATTTTTGCGATGTTGGGTTTGTACTTGCGCGGCAGCAACTCAACGACTTAGGGGTACCTCCAATGACTCAAACTTCGAAATTTCAACCTTCTGGACCGCATGACTTCGCTGCAAATTTTGCATTTACACTTGGTAATTTTTATAATAAACCACATACGGACAACGATAAAGGAAAAGTGTACTGTCTCTGGTACCCAATCGATAGTATTAGTGGGAGAATAGTAACCGAGAGTGAAGGGTTTATGCTGATAGGCGGGTGGTTCATTTTTCCCGAGTATCGGGTTGCAATCAAATTTGGAGGTAAGTCGGCGGTGCAGATTGCCTGGAATGGAAAGAGCACTTTTCATCACACGCTACCTTCTAAGGAAGGCCGGGGGATTGGGAAGGGTGGTCAAAAAGTCTGTTACACTCGCTTGGGCTGCTCATCCCAAATCACTCATTCAATAGCGAGGGCAGCTGCAAAGGTAGGAACAGATCGACAGTTCAACCGCAAGTCAAACTGTGATCGTGAGGTTAGAGACATTGATGATGTACTAGCACTGAAAAATAGAAGATGGAAAGAGTGAGAGTGGGAACTGCAGTGTTCATGATACAGGATCACATTGTTGAAATGAAAAATTATGCCAGTGTAGCCAATAAATTGTAGCAAGTTTACCAGTTTTTCCGGTGAGCCAGAGAGTAGAGTGTATATGAATCCATTGAAGCGGCGCCAGCCGCCCATTCATTGAAGCGGCGCCGCCGCCTGAATGTACTAGTTACATTTAACCACAAAGATGGTTCGCTTACAAAACTCAACAAAATCCACCATTAGCGTGATCTTTGAGTTTTGTCCATAGTCAGAAACCTTTCATTGCAAATCAATCTGCATCCACTGGCATGATCAGTTACACCATCATTTTCACAGCCAATCATTTACACGCTGTGTTGCTTTGCCTCACATCAAAACCAATCTGGAGCAATCAAATCCATTGTGAACTGCACTCGATCTCGCGATGCCTAGCAAATGCATCTCTTTGGCTCCACCGACATCAACAAAATATTTCAGAATTGATTCTTAGCTCTAATACACACAGACAAAGATTATCAAGATTTGAATTTTCAGTGTGAATGCAGGAAATCTCAATGTCACCGAAGTCAACCAATCTTAGCCTGTCATTACCAGCAACCAGAAAATCAAAAAAATTGCAAGTTACCCGACGTGTTGGTTTGGGTGGGTTTTCCTCTAACTGTGGATTATCCCCATGCATCGCAGTATCTCTTCGATGCATCAACAGCCATCATTCATACAATTCAATTTAAGCTGAAAGTTGGAGCCCACCAAACAATTGTGTTTCAGCGTTGACCATGTGGTATGTTCTTTTCTAGCTATTTTCATGTCTTGTTTTTCTTTGCAAAAGATAGACACGTTATATAACCTGACGATGTATTCCTTTACCTTTCTATTTCGAAACCTATTGAAAATAACCTAACAACACCTACCTCAGTATCCGTCTTTCTTACATCTGAAACATCCAACAATTGTAAATTTCCTACCTCGGAAATCCAATCATCCTCATATATCAAAAGCAAGCCTAAAGTCTTCAGAAATTGAACCAAAATCTCTTACCTGAAGAAATCACAGTCTCACTGTTGTGATTGATTGATACCTGCACTGGGAGAAATGGACTCTACCCATATCTAATGACCACGACATCACTCATATTCAATCTCCACTGCCACTCCTGCTGCCAGTATGTTCTTAAACCATTTCTGTTTTGGATTCGTGAAAAGCAAATATATCTCAATGACGGATTGCTCGATCCTATATCTCGATAATGCTACACCTGCTCTCGATTTGTCTACCGCAATTCAGATGATTGAAAGCCTCAAAGAATGGGCTAAATTAGGAAAAAGATCTTCAATCGTAGGCTTACGTCAGGCTTCAGATTCATTATATTCTCGATTCAATAAGCTTCTCCTGCTCTATTCAGAAAACCAGATTTACTTTGGACCAATCTCCGAGGCAGTGAAATATTTTGAAGAACTGGGCTTCGAACGAGCCAAAGCACCACCTGCAGCTGATTTCCTCTGTGCAGTCACCGATCCGGAGACTTGTCGCATTCGAGACGGTTATCATGATCGTGTACCCCGTACCCCGCTCGACTTTGTGAAGGCCTACAAGCACTCTAAGCAATATGATACCCTTAAACAGGAGATGATTGAATACGAGTCGCTCTATCCTTCCTCCGGGCCGGCTCATCACATCTTACACGCCAATCGCGCCAAGAAAGATAGGTGGACACCTAATTCCTCATCATATACAGTCAATTACTTCAGACAGGTAGCATACCTTGTCTTACGGCAGTGGGCTTTGATTCGAGCCGATCTACAACCATACACGACAAAGACAATAGTGAATGTAATGCTGTCATTCATCATTGGCTCCTTATTCTATCAACTTCCAGCTACCACTGAAGCAGCTTTTACCAGAGGATCTGTCCTGTTCCTTTCAATCCTGTTCAATGGATACCTTCAACTATCAGAATTGGCCAACACACTCGCTGGCCGTCCTATAGTTCAACGACATCGACGATTTGGGTTCTATTCTCCAGGTGCACTCGCATTAGCTCGGACTATTAGCGATCTTCCTTTGATTGCATTTAAAGTTTCACTCTTTGGTTCCATCACATATTTTATGGCTGGTGTACAAGCTGATATCACGCACTTCCTAACATACCTTTTGATTGGTTAGTCATAGCCTTTGGACTGATGAAAATACTCAAATAATCAGACCACGTTCTTGAACTAATTCTGCTATCGATCACAGTTTATGCTACGTCTCTTAATTTATCGGCCATCTTTAGGATGTTTGCGTCATTATCACCATCATTCGGCGAGGCAATGAGATATCGTGGCATCACGCTCTAATACAACTGTAGTGTATGTATTGA